GGAGCAGCGGGCGGAGCAGCGGGTAGGTCTGCCAGCGCAGCGCACGCGCCCGGCGGCGGGCCAGGCGACGGGCCAGGCAGCGGGCCAGGCAGCGGGCAGGCCGGCGGACAGGGCGGCGAGCGAGGCAAGGGCGGCGGAGGAGCAGGGGCAGGGGATGGTCGAGCTCGAGGCGCCGCTCAGATGCGCAGCCCGCCCCCCCCGCGCGGAGCCCATTAGAGCCAGCCCCCTCCCCTCTCGCCTCTCGCCTCTCGCCACAGGACGACGGCGAGGACGACGAGGACGAGCTCGTGGTGGGGCCTCCGCCCAAGCAGCAGAGGGCGGCCGAGGGCGGCGTCCGGTTCGGTTGGGAGGCGGTGGCGAGCCGGGCCGGGGAGGCTGCGTTGCGCGACAAGGCGTCGTCCGCAGTGGTGCAGCAGGACGCGGTGATGAGCTCGGTCTTTGGGGAGGCGCGCGGCGACGGCGACGAGGCGCGAGCCGCGCTGCTGGCGCAGGTCAACGAGGCTGCTCAGAAGAATGCCCGGCTGGAGCTGCAGAGCCGCTACTGACAGCGACGCACGAGGTGGCACATCCGGGGGCCACGGCTCTGCCAGCTCTGGGCCACGCTCTTGTGAGTTTTCCCTCCCTCTCGTGCCAACCGGGGGCGCGCGGCGTGGGCGTGGCGCGCACGCGGACCGGCGGGCCCGTACGTGCGCCCGACGAGTGACGTGCGCGCCGCCGGCGCGGGCCGGTTGGCCGGCGGGGCGGGGGCCGCGCCGCGCGCGGTGCGCGGTGCGCGGAGATTTTTTTGGCCGCAGCCTCTCTACACTCTAGCTCTCTGTTTGGACTCTCTTCCCTCTTCCGTGTTCTGCCTCTCTTTTGTCAGGAATAAATTAAAAAGTCCTCCGGCGAGACTCACATCATGCATGCACAGATGGCGTGGGAGGAAGATGGCTGCACAAGTGCCGACAAGCGTGACCGGGTCTGTGTGTGGTCACAGCGGGGTCGGGAGAGAGTCACAGTCAGTACTCAGAGGTTCAGAGGCACCTTGTCACAGCACGAACGTAGAGCGAGTACCGGCGCCGAGCCGCAGAGAAGCGTAGAGCGACCGCCCGAAGTGGGGTGGGTGGGTGGGGGGCGAGGGGCGAGGGGTCCGCCCCGCTAGTCGTCGAGGTCGGCGAGCTCCTCCTCCTCCTCCTGCAGCTCGCGCTCGTACAGCGGCGCCTCGTCGAGCATCTCGTCGAGGTGGAGGAGGTACTCGACCATGCCGGAGCTGTACTTGCCCGACGAGTCAATCTCGTCCAGCCCGTTGTGCTGCTTGTGCACCTGTGGGCGTGGCAGCAGCAGTGTCACCAGGCGGCCGGCCCAGCTCGCTGTGCGCTACTCGGACCCGCTGCCGCGCCTTGTTGTCCTTGAGGCATACTATGGTCGGGAGCATCCAGATGTTGAGCTTCTCGGTGATGAAGGGCGCCTTCTCCGCGTCCACGCAGATGAAGCGCGCCTCGAGGTGCCTCTGCGCGAGCATGCTCAGGTGCTCGGTCAGGATCTTGCCGTGCCTGCGGCGAGGAGGCGAGAGCGAGAGAGTGAGAAGGAGGGCGACGGAGAGGGCGGCCGCGCGCGAGCGCGAAGGCGCGCCGGTTCGACTCGCGCGTGAAGAGGCAGACAACGCGTGCGGACGACTTGGTGTAGGAGAAGAACTCCTTTTGGTCGCCGACAATTGCCATCCTTCCGTGCCCATTCCGCTGCCACTCCATCTTCTCCTCCGCCTTGCGCTTCATCTCCTCGACGCGGCGCCTGCGAATGTTTGCCAGCTCGTCCTCCTGCTAGCATCGGAGTCGGGGATCAGCCGGGCGCGCGAAAGAGAGAGCGCGGATGATGGCGCCGCCGCGCCGTAATGTTTTCGACGCGCTCGAGCTCATCGTCGACGGCCCGCTCGACATTGCTCAGGACCTGGCTGACAGCCTGGTCCATCATGGCCTGCTGCATCGTCATGGGATCCATTGCTTTGAGGTGGGCGGGGCCCGGGCAAATGGCCGTTGCGCGCAACGCTGGATAAAAGAAATAACGCAAGTTGGGAGCTGGGAAGAGGACCGCCGCAAGCGGCGTGGCGTGGAGCGGTTGTGCATCCCTCCGGGGGCCCCTCTGCGCCGGGGAGGCGTTGTTGGAGGCTAGGACGCAAGCGTCCGTCGCCCTTTTCAAACTCGGGGCCCACTCCGCTACGCTCCGACCCGAATTTGGAGGGCCTAAAAGTTTAAGCTGTTGCTGCGCAAAAGGGGTCGGACACCGGGCGCAGCTCATGCTAAGAGCTAGAAGAGGAGATAGAGAGAACAACCACCCTGTCCCGTTATTGCGTACACCAACACCACAAAACGCTCTCTCTCTCCTGTCCTCACTCAGGGGGGTCACAACTACCAAGTCCCTCGACTAGCTGCCACAGGGCGCAGCTGCCACAGGGCGCAGCTGGAGACGCTCCCCCTCAATCGGCATCCACCCCCACCCGCTCCAGCCCCACTTCTGCTGCCGAGAGAGCTGAATCGAAGCAAGCGAGCCATTGCATCTTGGCGTGCTCCTGGAGCGCGGCTTTCTGCGGCCACGAGCACGGCGGAGTCGGCGTCGTAGCGCGCATCGTTCCCGCTCATCGCCCATTCCTCCCGTGACGTGTGTCGGCCGCGATTCGATGTCGCCACCTTCATCGCCAACGAGGACTCCCTCGACTGCAGGGGGGCTCCGGTGCGGGGAGGGACTCCGCCTGCTGCGCTGGCCGACTGCGCCCTCCTCCTCCATGGGATCGATCCGATTCCGCAGCGGCGGTGCTGCGCGGGAGGCGGCCGCGGGCACGCTGGGCTCGATCAGCGGCTTTCCCCTCAGGTAGCGCGAAAGCACGGATTTGGCGGCCGTTCTTGGCTTCAATTTTACGAATGTCTTGGCACCAGCTGAAGGCTTGCCCGGCCCAGATCGCCCAGTTCGTGCACGGTATTCGGATTTTGCTATTTGTTCGTGTGGGGGTATATTGCAGATTTGTCAATGGTACCGCGTCTGCGACGCGGGCGCCTTGCGGGCAGAGCCCTTACGCCTTAGCCACCCTTTTATCTTGCGCGGTCATTAAAATGCCATGCGATTTTTGTTTGATTTCACTTTCTTCCTCTTACTCCAAGTGATGCATCTGTTCTTTGTTTCTCTTCGCAAGTGACCCCGACTCGCTCGCTACGCCCCCTAGGGCACGCAGGCCCTGGCCCTGCTCTCGCGCCAGTGCTCCGCAAACCCGTGCCGCCGCATGATGGCGCAGGCGTTGGTGAGCGTGCGGCGCGTCATCTCCGCCGCGAGGAGCGCCTCCCGGTGTGGCGAGTGCAGAAAGGCGCCGGCGTGGCGGTGGTCGTCCGGGGCGAGGTCCTCGAGGAGGCCGTGTCGGTGGAGCCGCTTGAGGAGCGGCTGGATGGCGCCCCCGCCAAAGACGTACATCGAGGCGGCCGCGGTTGCGTAGGCGCGGAGGAAGCGGTCGCGCGGGACGGAGACGCCTCGCGCGGCGTACGTCTTGAGCAGCAGGTCGAGCAGGTCCGCCTGGTCATTAGGAATCAGTGAGTTAACAGTCCGTCTTGGAGGAGCGGGGCGAGCAGGTCAGACCTCGTGCGCGGCGAGGAAGGCGGGCGGCAGCCAGTGGAAGTTCCACTGCGGCACGGGGGGCGGGGTGAGGGGCGGGGTGATAGGGGGGTGGGGGCGAGGGGCGGGAGGGGGTCGAAGGCGGGAGGGTGGGTTCGGGTACCGTGGGGTAGGGGAGGGGGTATAAGGCGGGAGGGTGCGTCACCGCCCACTCGAGCCCGACGCAGTTGAGGCAGGCCTGCCGCCAGTCAAAGAGGGTTGGGGTTAGGGGTAGGGTTAGGGTTAGGGTTAGGGTTAGGGGTAGGGGTAGGGTTAGGGTTAGGGTTAGCAGTTGAGGCAGGCCTGCTGCCAGTCGAAGAGGCCGAGGGTGGCGCCCTCCCCCTCGGGCCCGCCGCTGGCGCGGGCAAAGAAGAATGCGTTGTCGGCGACGATGTCGTTGTGGCCGTAGGCGAGCAGGTCGCCCTCGGCGCAGAGCCCGGAGAGCAGGTCGGGCAAGTCTGCGATCAGCTCGAGCTCGAGGCCGACCTAATATAACAATAATAATAACAATAATAGTACTAATAATAGTCTGCGATCAGCTCGAGCTCGAGGCCGACCAGCTGCGCGGGCACGTCCCAAGTGCAAAAGGCGGCGTTGAGGGCCCGACCTCCGACCGTCCTCCGGGCGGAGTGGCGCAGCCCTGCCAGCCCGAGCAGCTGCGCGATCGCGGTGCGCGGCAGGTTGACCTCGTCATACCTGGGTTAATTAATGAATTCGTCAGGCAAGGGTGGGGGGGAGAGAGGTCCATGGCAGACGTCGGCACCTGGGCAGCGTGGCGGCGCAGCCTCGCGCGTGCGGGCCCCACAGCCGCGCGTTGAGCCGCCCGCCCGCCTGCAGGACAGTTCCGAGAAGGCTCACGCAAGGGGGGCTGCAGAGGCCCGCTCTCCCGCAGCTCTCCCGCCTCCCACCTGCACGAAGGCGCGCTGCTCGGCGAGCGAGGGCGGGTCGCGCGCGCGGTGCCGCGGCGGCAGCAGCGGCGGAGAGGCGACGCGCTCGCCGCCGCCCTCCTCGCCGCCGCCCTCCTCGCCGCCTCCGCCGCCGCCGCCGAAGCACAGAGGCTCGAGCAGCAGGCACGACTCGCCCGCCGAGGAAAAGTCGGCGAAGTAGCAGCGAGGGCTCGCGATGCCGCACTCGCGCGCCTCCGCGGCGAGACGCAGGTAGAAGAGCGCCTCGCACGCCGCGGTCTGGGTCGCGGCAGCCAGCATCTTCATTGCAAACTCGCCGCGAGCGCTCAGCTTCACAAACAGGCGTGGAGGCAGCGCCGCCGCGCCGGCGCCAGAATACGAGACTGCGACGATGTGCTTGTCGCCCTTGACGCCATCAAAGCCGCCGCTCTGCAGCGCGTGGACGGACTCGACTCGTGCGCCCACGGGAAGCAGGCCGGGAGCGCCGTGTCGCAGCATCGCCTCGAGCGACGCCGGAGTGAGCTGCTCGATGAGCGCGGGAAAGGTGAGGCTGGAGAGCACTCCGCGCCGCCGCCAGCCGCCCGGCACCAGCAGCCGCACCGCAGTGGCCAGAAGCGCAAGCAGACCGCGCGGCGAGACGGGCGAGCGCCACCGCGTTCGGCTTCCCGCATAAAGCAGGAACAGCGCGACGGCAACGGCAGCCATCGTGCTGAGAGCTTGTGCCAGCCAGTCGTCCTCCTGCCAAGTCTCCAGCCACGGCCAGGCCAGCGCCGGCGGTGGCGTCAGCTCCTGCAGAGGCGCCCTGCGGAGGCGAGGGAGACGCCAGCGCATGGGATGTGTATCGAAACGAAGCGGGCTCAACACCCTCCAGCTTGGTTCGGGCTCCGTACCCATAGGGTGTGATTGTTCTGTGAGGGTCCGCCCGCAGGCGCATTTTGTATACCGAGGCGGTGCCCGGTGCCGGGTATTCCGTCTCATTTCATACATATCACTTCTTTTACCTCAGTACATACCCAGATTGTACATACGGTACCCCCTCCCCCCGTTGGAGCCCGCAGATGGGTAAGGAGCAGGTAGGTTAGGGTTAGCGTTAGGGCTTAGCCTTAGCGCTTAGGCAGGGCCCGTCACAACGGGCCGCGCACGTAGCGTCGTAGGTTTAGGGTTCCGCTTTCCGTTTCACATTCGACACGAGATCATCGCGAGCTGTAGCTCGCAGAGGAGTATGGCGTGTACCGGCCGGATTCCATGCTCTCGAGCCATGGAGGCGGGTCGCACCCGCCGCCCGCGGCGGCAACGCTGCGCGTCGCGCGATTCGACGCCTCGGCGAGCCGAGGCGGGTCGTAGCCCGCGCGGGGCGGCGGCGGCGAGCCGCCCGCGACGTCGGGAGCGAGGGCGGCGCGCAGAGCAGCCGCGCCGCCCGCGTGGCCGTGCAATTGTGTCTCGAGCTCGAGCGCCTCGATCTGGCGGAAGCTCGGCCGCCTCGCCGGGTCCGCGGCCCAGCACGCCTCGGCCAGCGCGCGCAGGGGTGGCGGCAGGCTGCTCGGGTCGGGCCGCGCGCCGTGCCCGACCCGCGCGCGCAGCTCGTCCACTCTCCCCGCCTCGAGGAGGGCTCGCCACGGGTAGAGCCGCGAGCAGAGCTCCCAGACGCACACCCCAAACGAGAAGATGTCGGCGCTGGCGGAGGGCACCACCCCCTCCCCCGCGCCAGTTCGCTTGGCGGGCGGCGGCGGCGCCGGCAGAAGCGCCGACAGCGTCGCCGCGGCCGAGACCGCCGAGGCAGCCGACCCCTCGGCTGAGGCGCCGCCGCCGCCGTGCCGGCGCGTGGCCGGCGAGAAACGGTCGCCGTCGCGCACCAAAAAGAGCTCGGGCGCCATGTAGGGCAGGGTGCCAACCTCCTCCGACAGCGACGCCGCCTCTCCCGCCTCCTCTCCACCCTCGCCGGAGGCTGCCGCTCGCCGCCCCAGCAAGCGCGACGACCCAAAGTCGCAGATCTTGACCTCGCCGCCTCGCAGGAGCAGGTTGAGCGGCTTCAGGTCGCCGTGCCATACGCCGCACGTGCCGTGGAGGAACGCCATGCCGCGGGCGACGCCGGCGCAGAGCGAGCCCACCAGCGGCAGCGGCAGCGGCGGAAGCGGCGCCGTCGGCTCGAGGCCGGCGGCGTGGATGAGGCGGTGGAGGGAGCTGTCGCACCGCTCCATCACGAGGCAGACGAGCGGCGGAGCGACGCAGCCGCCGACGAAACGGACCACGTTCGGGTGGGCGCAGTGGGCGAGGCACTCCGCTTCCGTCAGGAACATGGCGACAAAGTCGCGAGTCAAGTGGGCCACTGCGAACTGCTTGACGGCGACGGGCTCGCCAAAGTAGCTCGCCGCGCTCACCACCGCTGACGAGCCGCGCCCGATCGGCCGCTCGATGCGCAAATCGCTAGGCTCGACGACGACGAAGCGCGGTCGGCGGGGCGCGGGCTGCCCACCCGCAGCCCGCGCCGCGCCCGCCGCCCGCGCCGCGAGCAGAGGCACTCTGTGCGCCTTCGCGTCCTCGCCGCCGACGACGCAGGCGGCGAAGCCGGAGCGGGCCCAGTAGGCCGAGTCGCGCTGCAGGATCCAGACCTAGGGTTAGGGTTAGGGTTAGGGTTAGGGTTGGGGTTAGCAGTAGGCCGAGTCGCGCTGCAGGATCCCGACCAGCAAGGGGGCGTGCGCGGCGAAGCTGATCGGCATCACGGCGGCGTCCAGCCGCCACGCGGACGCCACACCGGAGCATAGCTTGGGCAGCAGGAAGGCTGCGGCCTATAGGAAGGCCGATACGTTCCCGGCAGACAGGAGGGCCGGGCGTAATGGGCAGGGAGGAGGGCCGGGCGCAGTGAGGAGGGCCGGGCGCAGTGGGTCGAGCGAGCCAGTGGGTCGAGCGAGCCTGCAGCGAGTTGAAGGCGCAGAGAGGCAGGGCACCGCGTTCCCACGCGGGCTTGGGCCGGAGGATCCCGAGGGCGGCGGCCGCGGCGGGGTAGGCGACGATGTTGACACAGAGACGCGACCAGTACGGCGCCCAGGCAGCCGCAAATAGAAGCTGCAGCGGCTGAGAGGAGGGTTGCGGCACGCGGATGGCCCAAGCAAGCAAGGCGCAGCCACAGCCGGCGGTGAGCAGAATGGCCCAAGCGGCGGCAGCGCGAGTGGCAAGCCTGAGCGCGGCGAGGCCGGCGCCACGCCCGGCCAGGAAGAGGAGCAGGCCTTCGCTGCACAGAACCCAGGAGGCGGCGGTAAGGTACTGCGTGGTCAGCAGTGCCGTCTGAACCGCGTCACGAGCGCCGGCACCGTCCACGTAGGCCTGGAACCCAAAGGTGGCGGCCCAAAGGCAGCTGTGCAAGGCCTCGTACTGGAGAAGGCGAGAGTAGACGGGCAGCACGCAGACGCTGGCGGCAGATCTGGCGGCAAGCCGGCGTTGCCGCGTCACATAGGAAATGAGTGCGCCGGCCTTGAGCACGAGGAAGACGGCGAGGAGAGCGTGCTCACGCTGTAGCCCCTTGCAGTGCTCGAGCGAGCAGGGCATCGCACTACCCTGTTCCTTCCTTCTCTGTGATCCCTGGTCACACGACAGCACCTGTCGTGATTGCTCTTTGCTTGTGACTGAGTGGTGGGATGCTCCGCAGCGTGAGTGTGTGATGCGGCGTTTCTTTTGGCGGGCACCCTTTTCTTTTCCGCAGAAAGGATCGCTTAAAAGAAAGAAGGAAAGAAAACAGACAACCCAAGGGAGGGATGGGAGGACGGTGAATGGATCGCTTGTACGTAGAGCGCGATGTGTTAAAAATTCTTTTTCTCGCGAGAAAAAGAAGAGGAGCAGCAGGCCTTCGCTGCACAGAACCCAGGAGGCGGCGGTAAGGTACTGCGTGGTCAGCAGTGCCGTCTGAACCGCGTCACGAGCGCCGGCACCGTCCACGTAGGCCTGGAGCCCAAAGGTGGCGGCCCAAAGGCAGCTGTGCAAGGCCTCGTCCTGGAGAAGGCGAGAGTAGACGGGCAGCACGCAGACGCTGGCGGCAGATCTGGCGGCAAGCCGGCGTTGCCGCGTCACATAGGAAATGAGCGCGCCGGCCTTGACGCTTGAGCACGAGGAAGACGGCGAGGAGAGCGTGCTCGCGCTGAAGCCCCTTGCAGTGCTCGAGCGAGCAGGGCATCGCACTAACCTGGTCCCTCCTTCTCTTTGATCCCTGGTAACACGACAGCACCCTGTGGTGATTGCTCTTTTTGCTTGTGAGTGGAATGTCCCCCGGATTCGGTACTTCAGTAGGGTATGGTATTATTTCAAGTGCTGCAGTACGACCAACGTTGCCAGGTGACTCTCCCAGCGATTATGCTCGAGGCGGAAGGCGATGTCATCGAGGCCGCGGCCGCTCCCGCGGCTGCAGCCGCACCGGCTGCCTAGCCCGGCTGGCGGCCGCAGGCCGTCGAATGCGACGACGGCCGCTATTGAGAGAGATTTTTAGCAATACCAAACAACTAATTTGTTTTTGCCGCTATTGCCGCCCTCCTCGCCCAGCGCATTGCTTAGTGGTGCGCTCGCCTCCCTCCTGCGCGACCGCTCATTCGTCGAGCGCGTTGTCTGTCTCGGCCGGCGCGCGAAGACGTGTGAAGAGGGGGGTCATGTCCGGTGTGAAGGGTAACCCACCAGGGTATCAGCCTATCCTCTAGGGGCCCAATGCCGGTCCTCTCAAGAGGGTATCAGGGTATAGCCCTGGGGTATGATTTGGGATATACCAAGCTGAAGTACCGAATCCAGCGTGAGTGGCGCTGCGGCGGTTTCTTTTTGGGGAACCCGAAGCCGAGGACCTTTCTTTTCCGCAACATTTTTTTCGACAATGTTGTTCGCCCACTCGGCGGTCAGTCGTCTCCCGGTGGGCGCCGGTTCAGGCGCAGTGCGCGAGCTGGCGAAGAAGGCGGTGCGCTCTCGGAAGGGCTTCGATCCGACCCGCGGCTGGGCGCGCCTCCACGAGCGCCTTTCCGAGGTGCCCGTGCACCTGCCGGCGCTAAAGAAGCTCGAGGCGCCTCCCTCGCGGCCGCACCGTGGTGACGCGCGCGCCCGCCTCGACGCGCCGCCTGCTCGGGCCCCCTAGGTGGTGTTTGGCCGCGCTGGCGACGGCCACACCGCCGCGCGGCACTTTGTGCGCATGCACCTCGCGCAGCTGCGGTTCCAGAACCCCGACGCGTCAGTGTCGCAGAGCAGCTCCAAGCTCGAGAAGAGCTCGCGAGTGAGCATCGAGCTGGACGGCGGCGAGGCCGTCGAGCTGAACGTCACGGGCCTGGCGAACCGCACCGAGGCGCGTCCGCCCGCCGCCACACCCGCCGCACACCCGTGCGCTTGCAAGAGACTGCTTGTCCGGCCGGCAGGTGCTGAGGCAGGTGCTCGGCGCGTCCGGGATGGAGGCCGCTGAGGTGGAGGCTGCGGCGGCGGCGGCAACCTCCATTCCCGACGTGACCATCGACGCGGCAGGCTATTGCGGCGAGCGGCGCGCGAAAGGTCATGGCTTCCCGCCACGAGTCATCGTTCCGCTGCCGCGGCGCGCTGCCGAGTGAGCGTTGTGCCGCTGGTGCATGCCTGTGTGGTGTGGAATAATTATCTTTATCGACTACAAGACGCGCGCGAGGTCACGTCTCCCGAGAAAACACAGCGTGAGACCCGACAGTGCGACAGTGAGAGAAGGAACATAGGACCGCAACGAGCTCGCACTAATCCCGACCCCCGGTTTTTTCGCTGAGGGTTTCAAACTTGTTCTATCATAGTTAGCTGCTAAGTGAGAGCAAGTGACACATCGCGTTCTCACCACGGTCGCCGCTCATGGCGCGGCGCGCCTGCGCAACGCGGCCCCGAGAGGGGCCGCCTGGCCACCGCTGCCACTGCGCCGCACGGATTTCACCCCACTTTCGCGACTGTGGCCGTCCAACAGTCTGCCGGCGCGGCGGGCGCATTCGAATGCGCCCGCTGCGCCGGCAGACTGTCAGTGCTATCCCGGGCGGCGCGCCAGCGAGCCCGGACGCTGGCCAGCCGCGAGGACAGCGCCATCGTCATCGGCGTCTCCTGCAGCAACTTCAACAGCACAAGGTAGCCGGGTCGGAGGCCTCCCGCCGAGCTGCCGAGCCACCCCGCACCCGCGCCACCCTGCCTCAGGGAGTCAGTTGAGAGGGTGCGCAAAACCTTACCAAAACTGGCACGGGTCACGCGCCGCTCGGGAGCCGCGGCGCAGCCTCCAGAGACTGCAACGACAGCGAGCATACGCGCACGCGACTAAGCAGCTAACTCGAGGGGTTTCCTCAATCAACCGAACGCACTAGGCTGGCGAAAAAACCGGGGCGCGGGATTAGTGCGTCTGGGAAAGGAGCGGCGCGTACGCCGACGAGCGCGCGCCGCGTCGGGCGTCGTCCACCGTGTGTGCAAGTGTGGGTGAGGCGCCCCGCGAACGGCGAACCCCCCGATAGGGTGCCCACAGGACCCAAAAGAAAATAGCTTTCTGGCTCAAAAAGGGACGCACGCGGCAAATCTGATGTTGGCCAGTTCCAATAGGAGAGAGGCCTCTTCCGTTGGGGGACCGAGTGACTAGGAAACGAGGGTTCCCCGGTTTGTCACGCGCGAGCACGAGCGTGACACTGCACTTGGCGCCGAGCGCTCGCGGCTCAGACCTTGTGCAGGCCACCCCTCATTGGGCACGCCGGTCTGGACCGATGGCGCTCGGTGTGGAGCAAGCAAGACACACCCACCCCCCCTCGGCGCGCGCTCGCCATTCCAACGGCCGCCAGGAGCACGAAGAGGACTCCTCATGGCTGTGCCCAAGTGGGCTTCGACCGGCCTCGGCTGGGGGGGCGGGTTGTCCCGGTTGCGGACGCGTTCTGCAGCCCCCTGGGCCCGTGACAGCACCCCAAAACTGCCCCTCGGCGGCATACAGCACTGCCAGCCAGCCTCTTCCTCCTCCTCAAGGGCTGTACTATAGGCCATATTGCGCCGCCTCCTACTGGCAGCCGGGCGGGCGCGCGCCGCGGGCGCCTCGGCGCGCGCACGGCTCGCAAAGTTCGAACGAGTACTGCCGCCCGGCCGCCTCAAGGCTGCCGGGCGGCAGTACTCGCCTCGCAAGGCGCGCACCGGCTGCTCTGGCTGCTGCGCCGGCGGCCGCTGCGCTGGCCGCTGCTGCGCCGGCTGGCGGGCGGCACGGCCGCCGGCGGCCGCTGCACCCGCGCCTTCCCTCGCGGGCGCCGTCGCGCCGCGCGCGCCCAACTCTGCTGGTACACGGCACGCGTCGTCACACAGCCGCGGAGAACAGGCGGTGCAGCGCGCGAAGCGCGCGCGATCTCGTACTTTTAAGGCTGGATCCGGCCATTCCAAGGGTATACCTTTGAGAATCCCCAGCGTCCCACCCTCCTAGTCACACTCTCAATATCTCGACTGGCCAACACGAAGTGCTGCGATCGGGGATAGAATAGAAAGGTGAACAACAGTCAGGCTCGGACTGGACACCAACGCGGTATGGGTGGACGCTCGAACCTCGAGCACGATGGGGACGTGCGTAACTTCAGGAAAAGTCATTGCAATTCGATGTCAACGACTCGCCCGGCAGTGGTGCAGCATGCCCGTGGTGCCTTTGGGCTGCAAAGCGCCGAGCACAGAGCGCAGTTTCAATGCGATTGTGCAGGGTCTCTTTCGCGAAGAGCTCGTGCCGCCCGGCGATGTGCTCGACGCTGGTGCTCTATTCGGCAAGTGGTCGTGCTACTATGCGTGCCTCAATCCATGGCGGCGAGTGCGCGCGGTCGACCCGCTCCCGTCAAACGCCCATTCAATACAGTGCTCTGACGACGCGGCGAACCGGGCGCTGCTGCGGTACGCGCGAGCCCTCTCCAACGAATCTGACTCCATTGAGGTGATCGATCGACGAGGCGGTTATGTTGGGAAGCTACAACGGCACATCTCGGCGCCTCGTTCCGCCACCGTGAGGGTGGGCGTCTCGACTATCGACGAGCTCTTCCTCTCCGAGTGGCGATCGCGGCTGGGATTTGCACATCTCGATATGGAGGTTGCTCCTCCCCACCCTCTCCCACCCTCTCCCCACCCTCTCCCCACCCTCTCCCCACCCTCTCCCCACCCTCACCCCACCCGAGGGGTACGAGCGTCGAGCCATCCTCGGGGGCGCGACAACCATCCGGCGCGACCAGCCCATCATCTCCACCGAGCTGAGCGGGACTTCGCCGGAAGCGCCAAAGCTGCTGGCGCTGCTGCGGAGTCTGGGGTACGTAAGCTTCAGCATCCTCGAGATGACCGGCGTCGGCTATAACAAGCGAAACGTGCTGAGCTTCCCGCGCTCGCAGCTCCAGCGGCTCCTCGACTCGCCCACTCTCGACCTCGCCGCTCGCGGCTTGCTCCTCGTGCCGGTCAACGAGAGCACGGTCAACAGGCAACGGTCCAGGGTCCGAGTTCTATCTTGGTACAACGACCTCTCGTTCCGCAAGGTCGTGTGCGCCTCGCGAAAGGCGGGCAAGCCGCAGGCGTGGGAGTGGGGCGAGGAGGCTCCCGACGACCGGAGGCCGTGGGAGGCCTCGAGCGCAGCGCGCTGGTGGGAGCCCGTGCTGTCGCTGCCCGAGGTGTGCGGCCACGCCGCGAGCGGCGGCCGGGGTGCGGGGAGAGAGAGGATGGGCTCTCCGCCTCCGGTTTGACGTGGTGTGGAGTGGTCCGGAGCTGCGAGCTGGGCGCCCGAGAGCGACAATACGAACAAGCGACAGACAAATGCACCAACAATTGGTTTGGTCTGGACTCGCTGGTAAAGAAACGGACCTCGCGAGGACTGGAGAGAAGGTAGTCCCCATTTAGCATGGATGATAGGATTCCTAAGATCTAAAATCGAGGGGTCCCGTACCATGCGGAATCGACCCTATCCAGTGCTCAAGTGCGCAAGATCTTGGAGCACTTGGAGTGCAGTCATTGGCCTCCGGGTAAAATTCTTCTCGAGCGGGAGCTTTGCGGTATGGGCAAGCCGCCGGCCGCGCCCTCGAGCCTCGGCCACAACCTGCGAGACTCGAGCGGCCGCACGGCACTGCATGCCGCCGCCGCGGCAGGTCGCACGGGAGCCGTCGTGGCGCTCCTCTCGCAGGGAGCGTGCGTGAACCTCCCACGCGACAACGGCTCCACCCCGTTGCACGCCGCTGCTGCGCACGGCCACGCCGAGGTCGTCAGCGAGCTGATCGCCGCGCGAGCAAACGTCGACGCAAAACGGGCCGACAACAAGAAGACGGCGCTGCACGCGGCTGCCGCGCACGGCTCGGCCGAGGTTGTGCGGTCACTGCTTGCTGCGAAGGCGGAGCCGGCGGCCCGTCGCGAGAACGGCAAGACCCCGCTGCACGCCGCCTGCAGCGGGGGCCACGCCGAGGCGGTCGAGTCGCTGCTCGAGGGCCGGGCGGACCCGAGCGCGGCCGAGTCGCACGGCATCACTCCTCTGCACGTGGCGGCGGCCCAGGGCCACGTGCGGTGCGTCTCGAGCCTCCTCGCCGCGGGCGCAGTCCCCAACCCGGTCCGGGACAACGGCCGAACCGCCCTCCACGCCGCCGCCGCCGGCGGCCACGCTGGCGTCGTCGCGCTCCTGCTCGAGGCTGGTGCGGAGGTGGACCAGGCGGGGCAGGGGCGTGCGACCGCACTGCACGTTGCGGCGCGGGAGGGGCACGCCTCCGTTGTCGGCATGCTGCTCGGCGCCGGCGCTGCCATCAACGAGTCGCGCGCCGACGGCAACACGGCGCTCCACGCGGCGGCCTGGCGGGGCCACGCGCCCGTCGTGGCGGCGCTGCTCGAGTCGCGCGCCCAGATCGACGCGTGTGCGGAGCGGGTGGGCGGTGCTCCGATGCCGCTCCACTTTGCCGCGCGCCAGGGGCACGTCGACGTGGTTCGCGCCCTCCTCGCCGCCCGGGCGCAGGCAGCCGGGAGGAGAGAGGGAGTGCCACGGCGGCCGCCTCGCAGCTTTGACCTCGCCCGGCCCCGCACCGCAGGCGGACTCCGGCGAGGAGCACGGAATGACGGCGCTGCACGGCGCCGCCGCGCACGGCCACGCCGAGGCACTCGGCTGCCCTCTACAGAGCCCGCCCCTCCCCCGCCCCCAGCCACCTCGGCCCGTGGTCGGCCCCTTTCCCTTTCCCTTTCTCCTTCTTCTTTCTCTTTTTTTTTTTT